TACCTTGGTGTCCACACCTGGAACAACAACACAGGGCACAGTGAACAGGTGGTTGTAGTAAGCGACTTCTTTGGCAGAGTAGTCTCTCATTGGCCGCACTAATATGACGTCACCGTATCTGGAGTCAGAGAAACCCTGTTTAAAACAACGACAACATTAAGAGCAGATTCGCTTTAACTCAAACTTGAAATACGAGCTGATGCTTCACACGAGGTAACGAGGTCTACGCACCGTGTCCTGGGCCAGCTGTGCTCCTCTGCCCAGTGATATACTGGTGAGCAGTTTAACAGCCAGGCGGGTGCAGCTGTCTCCCAGCATCAGCTTCCTGTAGCCCTCTGTGCGAGCTGTGTGCACCAGCAGATGCTGCCTTTGAGGAACAACACAGTCAGGTCAGCGGCTTGTGTGGTGGACAGACTCAGTCGGGAATCAAAGATGATTGCAGGCGGTAGCTCTGAACGTGTCTAAGCAACAAAAGCATCACGAGTAGTAGAAGCGAGTGACCTCTGACCTTAGCGTGTTCAGCAGCTCTTCTCTGGCCGTCAGTGTTTTAACTGAGCCGAGCAGCTGCTGCAGCATCAGCGTGTGCGACTGCTGAACGTGAGGCAGCAGCGTCTCCTTTGGTTCCTGTGGCGTCGGAAAGCTGCTGCCGTCAGTCTCCACAAAGCGATCCACGGCTGCTTTGTAGGCGCCGGCAGGTTGCTCTGAGGGCGCCGGATTGGTCGCCACGACTGACGCAGGCAGGTCCAGGACCTTAGAGAACATCGTGTATATTTAACAGACGCTCTGTGATCAGCTTCAGTCTCATTAAGAGCAGCTCCACACAGACCTGCTCCAGAGGTAAGATGAAGAAGGGGAAACCAGTGGCCTCAAACACCGCCTGAAGCTCAGCCACTGTCCTCTGTCGCTCCTCCACCGACTGACCTATCGCAGCACCCTCTGGGAACAAAGACACACCCCTTTACAAGGTTTCTGTTTCAGCCAGAATCATTTCAGAAAAACGTCTCCAGAGATGCAGAAATAGAAACTTTACTGTCAGCGTACAACCAGATGTAGCGTACCGTCGATGAAGGCGATGCCAGGCACGAATCGCAGCTTCTTGTTCGCCTTCTGACTCAAACCCTGTGACGAAGACGCATCAATAAATCCAACAAGAACAGCATCAACTATTTATGGCAGTTAAAGATATTTTTAATGCCGGTTTGAAGAAGTTGATAGACTAATATAATATTTCATGCTTTTCTACCACTTAAATATCCAAAAAACAAACAGTGGATCCAGAATCAACTCAAAGTCCTGCTCCTTAAATAATCCATCTTATCTTAATGACCTTGTAGTACCATATCACCCTATTAGAGCACTTCGCTCTCACTCTGCAGGCCTACTTGTTGTTCCTAGAGTATTTAAAAGTAGAATGGGAGGCAGAGCCTTCAGTTTTCAGGCCCCTCTTCTGTGGAACCAGCTTCCAGTTTGGATTCAGGAGACAGACACTATCTCTACTTTCAAGATTAGGCTTAAAACTTTCCTTTTTGCCAAAGCATATAGTTAGGGCTGGACCAGGTGACCCTGAATCCTCCCTTAGTTATGCTGCAATAGACGTAGACTGCCGGGGGATTCCCATGATGCACTGGGTGTTTCTCCTCTCTGCATTTAAATATGACTTATTATTAATCTCCGGCTCTTCCACAGCGAGTCTTTGCCCCCTCGTTCTTTTCTCACCCCAACAAGCAGCGCAGGGGGGGGCACCTCGAGGGCCGCTGTCCTGCAGCTTTCAGATGATGATCCAACACAGCTTTATCAAACGGCTAAACGACCTCCTCAACATGTCGTGAAGTTCTCCAGAGGCCTGGTGATGAACTAATCATGTGATTTAGGTGTGTTGGCCCAGGGTGAGATCTAAAAGCTGCAGGACAGCGACCCTCGAGGCCTGGAGTTGGACACCCCTGCAGTAGCAGCAGATGGCCCCGCCCCTCCCTGAGCCTGGTTCTGCTGGAGGTTTCTTCCTGTTAAAATGAGTTTTTCCTTCCCACTGTCGCCAAACTGCTTGTCTTACTGATTGCAGGGCTTTTCTCTGTTGTGTGATAGTAAGATCTTTACCTTACAATATAAGGAGGCAGCTGTTGTTGTGATTTGCACTACATAAATAAAACTGAAGTGACTTGTGGTGACAGTGACACACACCTCTTGAACTTGTCTGAGCATTGAACAGGAAGAAGGACCTCCGGACACAGCCAGCAGCACCTGGATAAAAGAGGCGCACAGTTCTGACGCTTTCAGCTTCTGCTGATTCTTCTGGGTCAAAGACAAACTCGCACAATAAAGCAAAGTGAATTTCGTTGTGTTGAGTCAGGAACGACTTACCTTCTCTCCGGGGAAAATGATCCTGTTCTTGCCGAGCACAGCTTTGAACTTGTGAGTGAAGAAATCTTTGAAACAGAGCCTGAACGACACAGAGACATGTGAGCACAGCCACTGCAAACACACCTCACATGACTTCCAGGTACAAACACATTTCTTTCAAACATCTCAGAAAACGTGCTGGGCTCACAGTACAGAAAACCTTCATGAAACATTTGTTTTCTCAGTGATCGTCTATTCTTCACCAGCCTGAGCCGAGTGTCTCTCACTGAGGGAGGAAGTCCAGCTGACAAAGGGCCGACAGTTTCCATTTAATGAAGCATCTGTGGAAACAGGCCGGAGCCAGGCTGGCTGAGCTTGATGCATCATGCCAAGCTCTACAGGGTGGGCCGTTTCTATGGATACAGCGTAACAACATGGGAATGGTTGGTGATATTAAAGTCCTGTTTGTGGCACATTAGTATATGTGAGGGG